GGGGGGGGGGGGGGGGGGGGGGGGGGCAAGTGGGGGATCAACGTATTTCAAAGGCGCAAGGCAGGCAAGTGTGTTCTTGCGATTGGGAAGAAGAACCAGCAGCGTCACAGAGGTCTACGGGCCTCCTTTATTCACTGCTTTACTTAAGTGACAGACCAAGCTTCAACATACAGTAGTTGCAAGTGTTTTACAACAGAAATCTGGGTTGTATTATCTGTAGGTAAGCTTGACGATTAGCACTTGCTATGTGAAAGTGCCACATTTCATCGCTTTAAGTGAAACACATGAAAACAAAACCAGGGGTGCAAGAAAAAGAAGGGCCCAAAACCTTTAAGGTGATTAACAAAGCTGCTGTGCGCTGTTTATGCAGCTAAGGAGCTCAGAACATTTTCAGGGGCGTCCACAATATTGTCACAAATCTTCATAATTTGGGAAGGATGCTGCCCTGAACTCATGCTTCTCAGCTGTGAAAGAAAGGATTGCTGGAAAGGTTGAGGCTCTGCCACAGATGTCCCGCTTTTGTATCTACAAGCGCACACTTCTAAGTGCCCAAGCAAAGTCTTGGAAATCCTCACAGCGAGCAGGACTTTCTGTGTTTGGCGGGAGGCTCTTCCTAGTTCCGCGCATTCCAGGATATGATTACAAAGAAAGGCAGATTACAGAAAACTGTAGTCTAATAGCAATCATGCATTCTACAATTTGTCTAATGTTTTATATATGTTACTGAATTCAGCTTTCACTAGCACAGGATATCTAGAGGGTGGATGATTCTGTTTATGGACTCAAGTGGTGTCCAAAATTATTCAATGACTTTAGCATAGGGCATTGACTTCCAAACCCCCAAAAGCTCAGTCCAAGATCCCAGTTGACAACAGAGGGTTAACGTGGTCTAGAGAAGAGGAAAGAGATGCAATTCCTGGGCCTCTTATTTTGCCATCTTCAAAGGAGTAAAATGGGATGGATTAAATGGTAAAGTCAAGGACATCTTAATCTAACCCTTGTTAATCTTTGTGCGACAGCCTTGTCAAAAACAGTTTACTCTGCAAACAGACGAAACACAGATACACAGCAGAAAAGACGACAACCAGTTGTATTTCTGAAGCCCCACCCAAAGGTCATTTAAGTTCCATGCAACACTTCCCCTTTGCTAACTTCCCTAAGTTTTAGATACCATCCTATTTAAATGTCTGGAGTGCTTAACTATCACCCCAAACGTCTTCACAGGCAGAAAGAAACAAAGAGAGACAAAGCCTGATGTGCTAGTGAAGTTGCTGGAATTGCAATAGCCTTGCTTAGCTGTGCAGCACTCAGAGCTGCATTTTGGCTTTCACAATGTACCAGTACAAAGCTTGTTTTCAGTCAACTGACCCTGGAAACAGCCGGAATGATTGGGGATTTCCCTCACACATCCTTAAACTTAAAAAATGTGTTCCCCTTCCTCACACAGTTTCCCTTGGAACTCTGGCTTAATCTCTTCAGATACTTGTTTCACTCTTCTGGCCCCCTGAAGATGTGGCATGTGCTTCAAGTCTCCTGATGACCTTGAGGGTATGGAGCATTTTGCTCCCACTTATACCCCTCCCCACTTGCAATGAGGCCGGGAGGTAGGAAGGTCCCCTCCATTGGTGCTAACAGATGCTCTTCTTCTCCATCTAACTGACGTTGGCTGATATTCTGTTGGGAAGAAAACTTCATTAGCTATAATTTTTGGCTGACGTTTTCCAGTCAGCCCTAGTTAAGATAAATCAGCTGGTCTAGATGTGGACATCACCAAATGCTACACTTAGCAGGGAACTGGAAGGAAAACTTTCTAAACTCCTCTTCACTGTGGGGGACATTCTGAAGGCCACTATGCTAATGTTTATTCGCTAAACCAAAACCATCAATTGTACAGATCTTCCTTTGTATCTAGTACACCCTGCCAGGTGCAAAGAGGTGATTCTTCTCTATAGCAAACGAGAAGTTACAGAAATACTTTGATCATGGCGGAAGTGGCTGTCAGTGCAATCTGATCTACATCTATTCATCAACCTTTGCTCCAAGGTTAAATCCATGGAGTTACTGGATTTGCCACCAGGATAATCTGAATAGGATTGTACCCTTAATTTATCATGGTATCTGTGATTTTTATAGGAATCAATTTCTACTCATCACCAAGTAGAGAAATATATTCACAGCTATGATTCAAGCAAAATGGATCTTTCATCAGAAGCCAAAAGCTTTGTCAGTTTCCTTACTGTTCTTCCCTGGGAAAGAAAAAGATACAATGAAATTAACATTAATTTGCTTTTCATTTTAGACCTACAGTATGCTAGAAGTCAACAACTCCTCAGTGGCACCTACTGACCTCCATAGTTGAAAGGACATTTCATTTTTCATTTTGAAAAAACAAAATTAAAAATTGTGAGTACCTCATCAGATCGTCTTTGTTGTTCAGTTGTTAAGTCGTGTCCGACTCTTCATGACCCCATGAACCATATCGCTCCAGGCCTTCCTGTCCTTCACTGCCTCCCTTGTATGTAAGAGTAATTGTGTTCTTGCAGGAGCTCTCATGGCATTCTGGCCACTTATTTTTATGACTCCTTTTTATTTTATGTTTTAGTACATGCAACATCGTTGGAAATCGCACAGTGGTGATTCTCGCCCCAATGGTGGCTGGCCCATTGTATGTTGCTCCCATCCATCCATCCATCCATCCATCCATCCATCCATCCATCCATCCCCCGTGGCAGCCTGGGTTGCCCGCCCACCTTCAGGTCTTCAGATACAGTAATACCTCGGTTCACGAACGCTTCTGTTCACGACCAATTCGGGTCACGAACAGCACCGTTCGCAAAATTTTGCTTCTGTTCGCGAGCTCCGCATCTGGTGACGAACATGACCCGCGGCCATCTTCCCTGCTGTGACACGTGGTCGTGGCTTCCTGTAGGCGAGGGGGACTCTCCCTCCAACCAATAACCGCCTCCCCACCCGCCTTCCTGTCCTCCACGCAAGAAGTCGCCTCGAGCAAGGTTAGCGTTCTCTCTCTTCAGACTG